GGGTGCAGAGGGGTGAGCGTCCTCCCGGTGTGCTGAGAACGGAGACCTGCGTGTGGGCAGAGTGGGGCGAACCGAGCATCTGGCACTTGGTGGCAAGAAGGCACCTGGGAGACCAGGAGCCAACTGGAAAGGGAAAGGCCGCCCCAGTGTGAATAGGGGCGAAGTGAATTTTGGAAGGAGAAAGATGCAAGCCCAGAGAGTGCCAGCCCAGGGTAGAGGCCGAGGTTCCTGAGGAGGAGGTGGTACAGGGGCCCGCGGGTGGGAGGAGGGAGCTGGAACACAGCGAGGAGGTGTGGGAGAGGAAGGAGCGGAAGTCCTGGGAGGCAGCTGTAGCGCGGGTGCAGCTCCAGCCACTGACCTAGCGGTAAAGGGCAGCTGGACCAACCGAGCCCCGAGGTCTGTTTACCAGGGACTTGCTGCTAATCCCTGTGATAGAGGAAAAAATGGCTTGTACCCAGAGAGCCCCCTTAGGAGGGAGAAAGGGAAAGAAGTATTGCCATGGAGTTCCTGATGTGCAGTAGCGTTGTTTCTAAAGCAGCTAGGGCCTGTTACTGTTCTCCTTGCGTTTATTTTTAACCAAAGAAAATGCGCCTCTTCAGATTTACGTTTGAACTCTTATCCTTAAACAGTCCGCACTGGACTAAATAGGAATTTGGCATGGACAAATAGTACATCAGATAAATCACTGAGTTAGACATGAAGACTGTTTCCTCTCCCTTTAAGTGCATTTCTTGAAGGCTAGTGGTTCCTAAACTCATGACCACCACTTGTCTTACCACTGACTCTCATCTGGCTGAAAATGTTCCCAAGCAAGGCTTGAGCTACACCAGCGTGAATGAGGGCGGCCTCTGGTAGCGCATGGGCCCCAGCACTCGTGCCAATGAGTGAGGTAAGGATATCCCTTAGGATATCAACAGCACTGGTGATAGAGCATCCTCGCTTTGTGGTTTTAGAAAAAAAGTAATGCTTTGCAATATGTGAACGTGTTCCATGAGCAACCTGACCGGCAGAACTGTAGCAATTTAGTTCTACTACAACAGCTACGCCATTTTTATTACTCTGGATTATTACATAGATTATTCTGAAATAAAAGTGATTCTGGTGTAAAGCAGAATAATGGTACCAGAATAAAGTCACTTTTATTCCCAAGCAGGCTCCTTACAGAGGGTTACGCTGGCAGAATTGCAGTGGCAAAAGGACACAGCTGGAGATCTGTATGTCCCTTTCCCCCTGTAAGCAGGTGCTCGTATTTTTCAAGTAGATTGCATACTTGTGCCCTGCATCTCCCTTACTGGAGCGGGAAGCTGGAACTCAGTGGAAAGAAGTGACTGGGGGCGGATACCCTGTTGAAAACAGACGGTCAGTGCAAATTTCTGTTGAGCAGTTGTGGGCCGGTCCTCACAGTTCCTGTCTCGCTGAAGGAGAGAGGAAGCGAGGAATATAAATCTATATGATCAAAGTAACACAGCTATTAGTAAATAACCTTTCTACCTCCTTCAAGTGCTGCCTGCGCAAATATCCGTTTCTACGTATACCTGTACCATTTCTCAGAGGAGGTGGGTTTGAGGTGTATTAATTAAATAGAGAATGATTTCCCGAAATGGGATTTAGATCAAGTTGCCAAACTAAGAAAGAGCTGACAGTTTGTGAAGGTCAGTTTCTACATAGAAATTTTACACAGATCTGTGATGGAGACATTTCCCAGAAATTCTGTGGAATGTACTGTTGACCTTGTATAACATAAAGTGCTCAAAACTTCAAGCTCTGTGCTGATAGAGTAATATAAAGATGTATAAGGAAGACTTGAAGTAGGATGAATGTTCTTTACAACCTCTGAATAGAAACTGCTGATTCTTGGGGTTTTGTGCAAGACCTGATTTAATCTTATGTTCCTTTCCACACTTTAAAAGTACATGATGGCTTCTTTAACAAAGTATTTTTTTTCAAGCTGGTCGATACACGATTTTATTTATAAACCTTTTTAATAATGCAAAGTTAAGGTCAGTATTAATATATGCCAGTTCAGAGTGTCAGCTTCAGGTGACTTCCAACCTCTGAGAGTGTGATGCAGATGAGAATCTTTGGGTTACAATCCAATTACGTGTGAAAGGATTAGAAAGTTTTAAAAAAGGAAGCTTCCACTGCTACAGTGTTTAAATGTAGCTAGATTTTTCTTCTAGTTTTGCCTAGGAGATAAGCACAATGTGCTTATTTGTGCCATTACCTTGATTATCTATATTATTACCTATATCATGATAATTCATGGTACCTGTATCGTGTGAATTACATGTGCCAGAATACCCTTCAAAGAGTGTAAGGCTGATTGTGGCATGTACTTGAATTTATTATTTCTCAGATGATTTTATGTTTGTTCTCAGACAGTCATACGTATTTCGCAAGGGAATTTAATTGCACCAAGAAACTTGCTTTAAGATTTAAAGTTAGTCAATTCCTCAGTAGTTGGAACAGAAGAGGAAATGTGTGGTTACGTGTAGCAGCTAGTGTCAGTTTTGGGAAATACAGTTACAAGTTTGCAGGTAGGAGCAGAAGCTGGGCAAAGTGATCTCGTGGCGTCAGGTTCAATGGAAGCAAACAGAAGCATTGAATTACTCCTAAAATCCCAACAGATGTTTTCTGATGGCACATATTTACATATTCTTGTGATGCACAGAAGAACTTCACATGCAGTCACCTCACTTTTACAGCTAAGCCCATGCAGTATGAGACGTGCCTTCCCAGGAGCGATACCAGGGCTGAATTCTGTCCTTCCGTGCTGGTGGCAAGTATGTGGCATGCCATGAGGAGGAATGTTGCAGTGTTCAAGCAGGCTAGGAGGCAAACCAATGCTTGCCTAGGTCTGCACCTGAGAAATTATGCTAGTTAAGATACTAGTACAGGAAGATCGCCCCTCTGTATTAGGGACGCTTCACTAGGTGAAGCAGGTGGACTTCAGCTCTTGGAGATGGCTCTGCTTTTGTCTTAGCTGGCATTTGAGTTGAGCTTCTGAAACACACTTTTGCCATTTATTTTGTTTAGAGAAAAAAAGCTTTTTTTTTTTTTTTTCAGAAGCTTGTCAGGTGGAATCTCTCCATATCTCATCACCATTACACTTTTCACTGAGTCCATTGTAACATTATACAACTACATGAAAGGAGGCTGTAGCATGTGGGGGGTCGGCCTCTTCTCCCTGGTAACAGACGATAGGACAAGGGGAAATGGTCTGAAGTTGCGCCTGGGCAGGTTTAGGTTGAACATTAGGAAAAATTTCTTCACAGAAAGGGTTGTCAGGCACTGGAATGGGCTGCCCAGGGAAGTGCTCGAGTCCCCATCCCTGGAGGTATTTAAAAGACGGGTAGATGAGGTGCTTAGGGACATGGTTTAGTGGAGGGATGGCAGTGTTAGGTTGGACTTGATGATCTTAAAGGTCTTTCCCAACCTAAACGATTCTATGAGTCTATGATTATAGTTGTTATTTCAAGCACTCTCCCTAAATTCTGGGATATGTTGTGAAGCCAATGATTCTACTTTATTTCTCAGTTTTAGGTAGTCCTGCAAGGAGCAGGGAGTTGGACTCAATGATCCTTATGAGTCCCTTCCAACTTGAGATAGTCTATGATTCTGTGTTCTTCTTGGGGTCACTCTATGTCATAGACCAGCGACAAATGCTCAATCATGGATTCTCCACTGTTGGTGCTCAAAATTCTATTTCCAGATTCAATTCTAGGAAAAATCCTTTAATTTTGAATTTTCTATGTTTTATTTAGAAAGGAAAGCAGAAAAGTCTTTCTGAAGGAGTCAGACAGTTCATTTAAATTACTTTGCAACAGCATTGAGCTTGAGAGTCCAAGCTCTGAGGCTTCTGCCTCAGCTGTGGCTCCTGAAACTTAAAGGTCCCATCTCCCTGTTTTCTGTCAGCTAGATGGACAGAGACCCAGGAATCTGGAAATTTGGAATGAGGACTTGGGCAGGAATCTCAGGGTTTGGCAGTCTGGGCTGCTGTGCTTCTGGCTTTTTTTGGGTGAAAGCCTGACTGTCCTGAGAGTCCCATTAGAAGTGAAGCTGAGAGTTTTTTCTGGCTCTCTGCTGCATCACTGGGGCTAGGGTTCCTGTGGCTTCAAGGCAGAGAACTGCAATATCAGGAAACCCTGACTCCCGGAGAGTCTTTATGTCAGGAGTTCCCCACAGCTGTGAACTCTGCAAGGCCATTCCCTGTAGCAGCTCCTCTGGTAATGAAGGAGGAAAACTGCTGGAACGGTTTCGTTAAAGCATCTTGTGGTCAGTCAGAAGTTTATAAAACCATTATATTTTTGCTTGTGTTTCTGTTTGTGATGTAACAGAATTTTTTCAGTTTGGTCAGAACATTTCTGGTTGGTTCTATCCACCATATACTATAGCCCACATCGTTTCAAGGGGTTGAGAATAACATGTTGCTTGTCTTTGCATACCACAAATACGAGGTGTGAAAGCTGGTATAACATGAATGAACAGGACTTGTTAGGATATTTTTTATGGGAAAATAGGTGCCCAGACAGTCACAGACAGGTTTTTAGGGTATGTCTCCACCACAGAGTTCCCCATGGCTCTTAGAAATCCTCTAAACCAGCTGAAGCCACCTGGACCATTTGGGACTGTAAACAAATGCATCTACTCTCTAAACATGACTTCAAAAAAACCTGAGCCCCGTCTGGGTACAAAAGCAGTATTGGGCTGATGTTAACTCCACTTGATTGGTCCATCAGGGAATATGAACTGCAGATTATTTTAGCACATCACGTCAGCGGCTAACACAAACCTTCAATGACGTGTGTTCAATTTTGCAACGTAGGCTAGGCTAACAAGAAGGCAGATAAAGCAAACCATTTTGTAAGGGAATGAAGACTTGAGAGGCCCTCTTGCCTGCCGTCTGCGTACTTTCACTACCTGCTGTAATTCACCTCAACAGCGGGTCTCTATTTATGTGTATTACAAAGAGACAAAGGAAGCTGCTGTGGGAAAATCCTTCTTTCCTACCAGGGTCTGTAGTAATCCCACTGCCTGCTGCAGTTTACCAGCCACGCGTATGCTATCCCTTGCTCCAGTGTTTGAAGTATGCCGAACTTGCTGTAGCAACAATTTGTATAAGAAGTCATCAAGGTAACTCTGAAATGTTTGTAATAATTATCAGAGGAATAAAGGTCTTTCTGAATAAGTGATATTGTGCATGCCAGAACTAAATAATGGGCCTAAATGTTCGTGCCTAGTATTCTTTGTTGCCTCCTAAGTGGGGGGATGGAAGTTGTAGCCTGGCAGTGTTGAACCTTAAGCGGTGATGAAGCTCTGCTCTGAGCTTGTCAATGACTGGGATGTCAGACAGGATGCCGCAGATTTTCTCTGTGTTGATGCATGTGCATGTTGCTCTCTTACATAAATCAGTGTGAGCCAATTCATATTTGGTACAGGAGCTTTTGGAAATTCTTCATAGTAGCTTTCATATAATGCATAGTAAGGCACCATGTACAGCATTGCTGCATATAGAGCATATATGCTGTATTAACTGTGCTTTTCGAGGCTACTTTCCAAACAGTAGAAAACTTTTCTCCCACAGGTGGAAAATAACAATGGAGTCAGCAACCACTGTGATGTATTTTCCTAGAAGAGCATGTGTCTCATTCATATGTGTAATGTAGCTTTCAGAAAGATCTGTCTAATTCAGTAGCATAATTTACCTTTAGGAAAGTAGGGAGTTAATCTCAAATATATACGCTCCTCGACACATTGTTCTCAGAACTACCAAGTGCCCTGGCATATGGAAGGAAGTACCGGTGTACCTAACAATCATTCTCAGACACATGCTAACAGCATGCTCAAAATCAGTCGTTTTGGCCTGTGTTAAATGCCTTCAGAGTGGTGCCGAAAGCTGCCTCACGTTTCTGGCATCACACATGCTTCTGCCGGCTCATGTGGACTTCTAGGCGGTCTTCTCCGTGCCAGTGTAATGCATACATTTGCCATCTTTTTGAAGTGTCCGTTTAGCCTCCGCTGATGTGCAGTTACAAATTTTACCCTTAGTAACTTTTTCTATCTTGCTTCCCTGAAGGGGCATTGGGAGCATTGTGTTAGCAGCCTAAATCCTGACCGAATGAGATCAGTCTGGAGAGGATTAAAGCTACAGTCTGAGTCCCAGTCATGCAAAGAAAAAGTTGGAAGAAGCAGGTGATTTTGTAAACAGCTAATTCTTACAGAGGCTGTTCTTTGGGAACCCACCACTGAAGTGACTGAGCTTGGCCTGCTTGCCCTGCCCTCACGCTCCTGTGATTCACAGCAAATTTCAAGCATGTGGATCTTAGATTATTTACAATAGTCAGCCTTGAACTAAAAAACGGTGCTCAACTTCACTGTAATTAAAATGGAATGTAGACACCGGTTTGGCTAGGAGTTTAGGATGTGGTCATAAAGCTACTTTGTCCGCGTGGAGCACTGTCGAACCATCAGGTTTTGGGACTCTCTGGTTCTGCAGGCTGATACTATTTTGCCAGGAATGTGGTCTTCAAAGACAGATTGGATCATGTGCATTCTTCTAAACCTTGAGATGAAGAGTCTGTTAACTTTGGTGAGAAATAAATCTAAGTAGGTGGTAGGTTCACACACAGGTGGCAATGTGTGAATCATTTCTTTCATTTGACTGTAAGATGTAGGAACAAAGAAGATCCTTGGATAAAGATGTAAACTGATGTGGATGCCAAATGAACTTTGACTGAACTTAAGGCCGAACCATATTTTAAAAAATAAATAAATAACCCAGGATAAGGAGACACAATAGCAGATGCTGGAACCATCTGTTCCTGGACAGCTCTAATAGAAAACTTCTTCTAGTCTATTGTATGTTTCCCCGTTAGGTAGTAGTATTCTCTGTACGAATGTGCTCTGCCTGTGGTGAGGTATGAACAATAACGGTCCTGATCTCCAGGTGAGTTGTCCTCAATCCCCTTATATGCAGCCTGGCTTCTACAGCATTTGAAATTCTGTGTATACTCAAGTGATTGAGTTAAGCACTCCATCCTAACCTTAAGGCATGTATTACAATCACTATCAAATGAACTTTAAGGATGAGCTGTACTGCTCCACATAATTTGTTACAGATGTGAGGGAATCCCTCATTTCCCAAGGAATGGTCACTGCAGACGAGATGTTGTTTGAATGAGGTAAACAGATTGCACTTAACCCTTACTGCAGAGATTCAGTTCTGATTCCGGCAAAAACATGGTTTAAAGTGGTCACGATTCCAGCATTTTAACCTTTCCTCCTCCCCTTATAAGTTTTTAGAGTAGGGCCTAATTAATTATTTAAAACAGGAACCATAGTGTCCCAGGGATGGTACAAAGTTACAGACTACTTTCTATGTCCTGGGACAAGATTAGTAGGTGTAGGTCTCCACTCAGACATGATATAGCCATCAGTGGATTAAGTGTTGACTTCCATAAAGGACGATAGTCAGGACCAATTTTTCGGACCCATCCACCGGAATAATGATATTTCATGATTTTAATATGGAAATACATTGTTTGCAGGACAATCTGTGTATCATGGACTAGTTGTTGAATTTTGCTAGCAAACCAGACCAAGTATGAGTGGGAGTCAAATGAGCCTCTACTGCCATTCAACATTTTTTTGGAACTCAAGGGTCGGTTGGTTGTTCACAAGGGAATACTTTGTTCCAGCAGTCATTTTTTTCTAATATAAAGTCTGAGATGCTAGCACTGTATTTTCAGTGGAACTGTTTATGATAAACTTATCTGAGTATATGTAATGGAGGAAGGCCCTGAGGACATTCAAATCTTTTGCCTCTGGCAGCTTGAAAGAGCCAGGGGGACTGTGTGGGCTGTTGTCTCTGGACCCATGTTTTTTTATATAACCTCACACCAGATCTTCAGTTCTTCTGGGAGGTTTGTGTACCGCTCAACCAAGCATGGCTTTCCAAAGGGTCTGAACCTTGACATCACGGGCACTTGTATGTCTCAGGAGTAGGTAATCTGTACAGACAGAACTTTGGGCAACACTTCTAAGTGACAGCTGTATGTTCCCTGAGAGTGCTGCTGTACCACGGAATCAATGAACTAGTCTGGAGGCCTGCAGAACTAAATTGTTTTGACAGAGATGAGTGGGCAGGTAATAATTCTAAAGTTTCCAGTATTTTTAGGTAGGTGACAGAGTTTTAAAAAGTTTTAATAATAATTTTTAACATGATGTTAAAAATGTAATTTCAGGCAGAAAACATAGTAATTACGAGTTACTTACCTTTCTGGTTCCTACAGGGAGGGAGTTGTATAGGACGCAAATGGGACACTTCTAGAGAAAGAACTTGATAGGGAAACAGTCCTGTACTTCTCTTCTTTCTTACCGATCCTTAATTTAGAGATTTCTCAAATAGGATTCCACACTGTGTCTTGAGATCCACCTACCTATAGCTGTTAGGATGAGATGGAATTCTGAAAGGATGTAACATTTAAATGAGTTCATTATGATTTTTTACATCCTTTCTCCAAGTAGGCAGCAATTCACCCATTGGTGGGTAGAGGTAAGTAAAGATCCTTTTCTGTGAAGAAAATAAAACTTTATGAATAAAAGGAAAATAAGGCTCACACTGAAAAACAGAAAAGAAGTAATGGATAATAATTCATGATAAAATAGAGAAGGAAGAGTGAATAATAAAATCAAGGTTCTTTCAGATATGCTTTATCCTCTCCGTTGTGGCTTGATCTAGAGCCCATTGAACAGGTTCCCCTAAGTTTATCAGTACTCTCTTGATCGTCTCCTTATTATGTGCATCCTTCTAGCCTGGACCTGAACTTCAGCATTGCAACACGTTGACACTTTATTTCTTATGAGTGCAAAGAAGTTAGCTAGCTACGTATGCAATATCTGTTTACTTACATACTTATGTTTATTTTTATACTTACATTTTTAATCTTACATGAATATGGAATGTTTTCAGTCATGCATCGGTAGGACGATAAAATTGGTTCACGTACCACTTAACTTTTGAACAGTTGAGGAAGCTGTGATTTCTGATTGGCTTTGAAACAGAAACCATTGCAATGTATTCTGATGCTTATTTGAGAAAAAAATTGTTTTTAAATCTTTCTTAGAGAAAGATGTCCATTCCAGTGACCTTACTTGTACAACGTCCACAATACTTACATGCTTGTTTGAGGAGTATTGTGAAAATACAAAGCGCTTCATAAGTGCTAAGTAGCTTATAATAGGAAATTTTTCTTGCATTCCCAAACTACCTAAGATCTTCTCGGTAAATTAGCCAGGCTGTGCTGGAACTTTCTATAGTGTTTAAATGAGAATAATGTTCCATTGCTTCTTTTGGCATGTAAGCTATAGTCATTGTGTATGACAATCCACAAACCAGAAAAGAACTGTAGCGCTGCAGTTTATATTATTAAAGTACTATATGTGATAAACATGCATTTTTCATTGGTATCAAGTGCTCTGAATAACTATTTTAACATAAAGCAAGAGAAATTGAGAGCTCTTATGCTTTGTCATATAGGTTTAATGCGTTATGAGTCTGCATATTCATAAACATTGTGGAATATTTATTGTCAAACTGATGGCAAAGAACTGAGGTTCTGTTGGATCAGTATATGTCAGAAGCGCATGAATACTCAAATATTCCTGTTCGAGTGAATGATAAAAATTCCTTCTTTTTCATAGTTAGCAGTTTTACATTTTCAAAACATGTAAAACACTCTGGAGTTGCAATTTCTTAAATTTGCTTTGCTCGTGGAAATACAGCTTTGCAAAGAGCCATAATGGTTGTTACTATGATTTTGTTGACATGTCTTTAGAAAGCAGACAATTGGAAATGATGATATCACTGTTCTACAGGTAGCCAACACCCTTGGCTGTGTGAATTTTGGCTGAGATGGTGAGGAGTGCTGCAACCCAAGCATGATTCTACCGCCAACTCCATCGATGTTTCATACTGAGAATGGGTAATTAGCTTTCACTAAAAAACTTTAGTTGACACTAAAAAATGCGGGTATTGCTACAGAACACTATTTGCAGGACCTATATTGAGTTTGTGGTACTATGTGCATCAACATTAATTTTATTTTCACATGTTGTCATGGGTAAAACTGTGCCTGAATCACCTAGCTTTTGGAAATTTACTGATACAGTGGTGATACTGGAATGAGGCACATAGTGAAATAGAAAGCGGAATACAACTATTTTAAGAACTTTTATTATTTTAGTTAGTTTAATATATCTCTAGTGTTTTAAGCCCCTTAGAAGCTAACTTCCCATGTGTATTTTATATGTTTTTATATGTTGCCCTGCACAGTGACAATCTACATTTGATTTTGTCATCTAATTCATATTACAGCAGTCTTTAGAGTAATATTAGAGTAAAGTTTAAAGAAACTATGGAAGTTAGAGATTGTAGAAGAAATATTTATTAGAATAGTGTTGTATATGGAGAAAATGCATGCTTCCTTCTATTGTTAAATTAAATATCTAGGTAGTAATTGAGACTTATTTAGTTCTGGTGTGAAGCCTGAGCTATGGATAAAATTCAGAATGGTGATTTTCTGTTTTTGTCCTATGAATAATTCTAGGTAAATGAGTAAATATTGCATGTTACAAAAAAAATGGAAATGTTAAATTAATGGGTTGATTCATTTATTTATTGGTTGTCTAGGTCTTAATGTAAATTTTAAATTTGGGAAAGGAAAACATAGCCCATTTCTTCTCTGAGAGACAGAAAATTTCTAAATTACAGAAAAAAATGAAAAATTCTTAGCTTTGGAAGTGTCTATGCTCTAACAATTAAAGAAGTAAAAATTGCTGAGCTTCATTAAAACCAGTAGCACATTTGCTAAAACCTGTAGCAGAGGCAGATTTTTGTCCTTGATGTCTGGAAATTCTGGGATGGGATTTTCTGTGATCCTTTTCTGGGCACGTTCAAGGCCCACTTGTAAAAGAGAAGAGGAGGCTCATCA